CCTAGCACCACGGCTAGAAGTGATACACCTTCATCTCTTACCTTCCCTGGAATAGTAGTAATGTACTGGCAATTAGGGTTCTATGGCCCAATAGGTATTACCCACTGTTTTCTCTGCTTTACGCTTCGGTTAGTGGTCCCGCGAGGCCAACACCCCGCCTTACACTCGGAGGCATACACCCCTCGGGCCACTCGTGAGCTAGCCGCCTCGCATTGTATCATAGAGAGGGCCTCACCTGTCACTCCCCTTCCTATTTTCTGGTTACTGTCACCGAGAGGCCAACATCCTGCTACAACGTTCGGTGTCCACAAAAAAATCCCCTCGCGCCAAGCATAGATAGAGCCTCTCAAGCCACTTGGCAACTAGCAGGGCCTCACCAGTCACCAAAAAACACCAAGCCTAATCGTTTTGCCTTACGGCTTAGCTAGCAAGCCAGTACAAGACCCCTGGGTACAAATAATAATTGCAATCTTTATTGTTATTTAAGTATTTCTCAAAAAGATGGTGAAGAACTTCACTTCCTGGCACCCTGGCTAGAAGTGATACACCTTCAAGCAGAGGAGATGTGGCTCCGACCTAAGGAGGCGACAAATCCCCTACCCTGCCACAGCAAGGAAAGCAGAGTTATTCAAACTCCTCCATACATCAACGGAGGCCCAGCAACACCAACTCAGGTGACACCCAGGCCATGCTAGCCTCACTCATAAAATCATGAGCCAAGAAATTTACGACAGACTGGCAATCTCGAGTCAGTCACAGCCCTCACAAGGCTGGGCCTCACGCTACTGTACAACCAGCACCAACCGAAACTCGGTTACTTGGTACAAGATGTTAACCCTGCACATATGATCCCGGCACATTGGGAACACAAGGCATATATATGTATGATGATGTATCTATGATGGTCAGACCCAGGGATTCTAGGTAAAACGGGAACTGACCATCCCTTGGTTGTGTTGGCATTTGGAATATGTAGAGATGCTTATTTGTGCAGGTACCCATACAGAAGGGATTTTCTCCCAAACAAACGGACGAGCACTCTCAGGCTCCAGGTACCAGCACCTCTGAACTACCAGAGACAATTGGTATTAGTAGTTGCATTGCATATAGACTGTTGCATATATGTTCAAATCATTCAGGGCACATGACAAACCATGTGTCCCAATACAACTTACAAATAACGTACACACCAATGCATTTTCAACACTACTGACTCATCACCCTTCCAGACTTGTAGTAGATTTACTCAGGCTCTGGAGCTTCAAAGGGCTCCCATACAGGTATCATCATAAATAAACTCTCAAGGAATATAGCATGCCCTCACTTAGTCAGCACAACAGAACCGTCGGCTGTAAACACACTCATAGCCAAGATTTGCAGAGGGGTTTTTACTTGGGTTTCCAATCTCCACCATTTACAGCATGGCACCAAACACAAACGCATTGGTATTGTCACAAGGGAATCTTCCCTTAAACAAAGACTAACCATAGACTTATTGGGACCACACACCTTCGCTACCCCAAGTCTCAACTCCCTCATATCCTCCGAGGAGTTTCCTTACTATACACACCATTGATCTACCTTTACAGCTATCACTCAAGCATGGGTTGAAGCTTCGTTAAGTAAGACCAATATCATCAACACAGTAAACGGCTACCATCTACCCTACAAACTGGCACTTACATGGCATAAAATGGGCAATCCTTTCCCTGCTAAAAGCAGCTGCTGTGGCATGGGGTAAATCATGGTCAGGGTCATCAATCCGTTGTTACTCAGACAACTAAGCACATGTCATATCATCAACAAATGCCACTCAGCATCCATACGATCATGGTATTGCTGGGGAACTCACTTGGTTGGCCACTTACCACATTTCTTTTACTTTCATGTACCAGGCGGGGGTATACATCCTTGCCGACAATTGTCTCATTTATATTCCAGGCACGTTCATTATACGCTTCCTAAAGCCGCCCATACGGTCACGGCCACTCTTTCGTTCCAGAGACAAAATCATGGATTAGACATACTCATGCAGCATAGCATGCACTATCCCACCTAACACTTTCATCCCATACTTGTACAACGCATAACACCTATTCACCTGGCTTTAAAGAATCTCATTGGAACACGACATAGCTCAACCTGTGTCATAACATTTCTCCTAGGTTTTGCTTCATTTTTTGCCACCTTAAACTAAAACCATCTCACACACCATTAATTATATATTTTACAGGCATTCAACAACACAGGATAACCTATGGCCAAACTACCATAACTTCATGCTATCATACCAGACAAGAATATACTCAGAGGTTTTCAGGAATCCATCCCCCCATGTTCCTCTCAGATATTACCAATAGCCATCCAACTTTTCCATCCTTATCGGACCTATTAGAGCTACAACCATTCAATTATACTACCAAGTTGGACATTACCAGCCATGCACACTGCCTTTTATGCCTTTCTCAGGCCAGAGAATCCACTACCATAACCACCACTCAGACAGATCATTGTCTTCAACGATCCCACGTATGTAAACACATATATCATTACCTATTGGCTCTACCACATTCTGAAACGAGTCAACACGCACCAACAGTAGAGATAACATACTATCCTACACACAACAAATGGTGTCCAGTTGCGGTCCTAGATTCCTACCTTCAAAAATCCTTCAAGGAATTAAATACCGTAATGCATTTAAGGAAATGTCTGGTTAATTTGTATATATTGTTGACTGTATTAAATCTTTGATTATTCTTTTTGCCCTCTTTATTTACAGGCCTACCGTATCGTCGGTCTCGGCACACCACAACCGACTTGCTCCCTTTATACTATCCTACGCTTATGCTGGAACCTTATTCCATATACGGCTATTTGCCCCGAACACAAGTTTTAAGGCCATTTGGCCTGTATTTGTGGGAGGGGCTTAAATTAATTCACTCCCCTATATAAGGGACACCCCTTACCTGACTCATATCGCTTGAGGTCAGCATCAGAATGACCCTCCCACCCACTCCTCATTTCAACACTTTCTCTTTTCTTTCCATTTACTTTACTTACTCCTTGGTGGGCCCTCTTTATTTACAGGCCTACCGTATCGTCGGTCTCGGCACACCACAACCGACTTGCTCCCTTTATACTATCCTACGCTTATGCTGGAACCTTATTCCATATACGGCTATTTGCCCCGAACACAAATATATATATATATATATAATATGTGTATATATCTATTCCACCTATATATATGTAATGTCATTCTAAGTGTATTTTAATTCTAATATATATATACTTATATTAATATTAAAATACACTTTGTATGATGTTACATATATATAATATGTATATATATAAAATATATATATTATATATATATAAATACATATCTATTTTAATTTTACACATGTCTAATATTTTTTTTTTTACACTACCCACCAGAAGGGGGACTTTCTGACATTTCATGACATTCTACTCACCAGAGCATATTCAATAAGCTGTAGTTGTTCTGGTGACTATAGTGTCCCTTTAAGGACACTGTCACATATTCATCCGCTTATAGAAATGTGGTTAATGACATTTATTGTCCACACAGGAAAAGTTGTGCCGAGCAGCAACCTATTCCACAGAAGGGTTAATGCTGAGCAGTAATTGTGCGAATGAAACCTGGTGTCATGTATTCATCCGCTTAGAGAAAAGTGATTAATGACATTTACTGTCCACACAGGAAAAGTTGTGCCGAGCAGCAACCTAATCCACAGAAGGGTTAATGCTGAGCAGCAATTATGCAAATGAAACCTGGTAACTGACTTTGGGGTCAAAGGCCGGTTACAGCCTATCAGAACTAAAGTAGGGGTATTTAGGCCCAGTTCTCAGCCTGCTCAGTGCCCTGTCGTGGTTTCCCTTGTGGTTGTCTGAGAGCGCGTTCCTGTTTATAGTTTTCTACCCGGTTTTTGACTTTGGCTTTGTTTATTGACTTCTCTATATTCTGGTATCCTGACTCCTGGCTTTCCTCATCGCTGTGTCCCTTTCTGTGTTCCCTGACCTCGGCTAGTATTTTTGACTATTCTTTGTACGTTAAATCCGGCCATTCTAAGGACCGGTAATACGTTACTTATTTGTCATCCGTGCTGTACAGTTCTACGTGCTGGATCAAACAATAATCCTGACAGACACAAGCCATTTTTGCATTTTTTGCTATTCGTATTCAAACACAATTTGCATCTCTGTCATTTATTGCACGAACACATATTATAAACCGTGTTTTTAAAGGGCAAACATGGCTTTAATTTTATGTCACATACATAGATAAATTCTCATTAATTATAAAATAAATACAAAAATGGGGGAAAAAAACAGTTTTGACAATAATATGTCCAGCTTAGAAAAAGTAATTCAAAATAAATTCATTTATGTGTCTTGATTTATAGAGTACATCATATGTATAGGATTTCAGCTATTTTGAAAGTTACAGGTCACAAAATACAAGGACTAAAATAAAATTTTAATGTGAAACAATTTTAGAAGTATGTTTGTCAAATTTGCCATACAAACAGGGCCGGATTAACATAGGGGCTGATGGAGCTGCAGCTCCAGGCCCAGGCCCATGGAATAGGCCCATTGATTTATTAAAAAAAAAAAAAAAAAAATTTTTTTTTTTTACATTTTTTTTTTCACACACTACTCTTAGGGATTCCACCTGGCTTTTATTTTATTGGCACAGCCAGTATTTGAGGCTGCCTGGCTGGTGCCAATATTGCAGTAATACTGGCAATACAAATGCTGGTATTTTTCTCAGTATAAACAAGAGATTACTCTGCAATACCAGCACTGGCCAGTAGGGGTCGCTGTGTGTGGAGACAGGCAGGGATAGGAAGTTCCAGCATTTCCCTCCCTGCCTATCTATACTCACTGATCTGCAGGGGTGCAGCTACAGAGAGTCCAGACAGCAACTCCCACCCTGCAGAGACAGCCTACAGCTCAGGGAAGTAAGGGATGGGGGGAAAGGCTGCAAGGAGACATACACTGAGACACTAAGGGACATTGGGAGACATTATGGCCAACACTGAGACACGAAGGGACATTGGGAGACATTATGGCAGACACTGAGACACTAAGGGACATTGGGAGACATTATGGCAGACACTAAGGGACACTGGGAAACATTATGGCAGACACTGAGACACTAAGGGACACTGGGAAACATTATGGCAGACACTGAGACACTAAGGGACATTAGGAGACATTATGGCAGACACTGAGACACTAAGGGACACTGGGAGACATGGGGCATTGAGACACTGATACATAGGAACACTGAGACCTGGAGTAATCGACACATGGGGGCACTGAGTCATGAGGGCACTGGGAGACATGGGGGCACTGGGAGGAATCCATCTATACAGCAGAATCAAACTAAGTAGTTTTTGGTGATTTTACAGCATTTTCTCTTATGTCACTCCTTGTGATTTACATCATGTGATGTCACCCATACATATTTAATTATACAAATTAGTAAGGCCGGTATGTTTTTCCAAGAAAGGTGGCAACCCTAACTACTTTTCACATACTCTTACTTAAGTATGGAAACTTAAGTGGGATGTATGGGAACAACTATAGTCACCAGAACAACTACAGCTTATTGAATTTGTTCTGGTGAGTAGAATCATTACCTTCAGGCTTTTTGCTGTAAACATTGTCTTTTCAGAGAAAAAGCAGTCTTTTCATTACAGCCTAGTGATAACTTCACTGGCCACTCCTCAGATGGCTGTTAGAGATCCTTCCTGGGTCAGGGCTGCCTAAAATGCATCCAAACATTCAGTGTCTCCTCCCTCTGCATGCAGACACTGAACCTTCCTCATAGAGATTCATTAATTAAATTCATCTATATAAGGAGATGCTGATTGGCCAGGGCTGTGTTTGAATCATGCTTGCTCTGACCCTGATCTGCCTCTTTGTCAGTCTCAGCTAATCCTATGGGGAAGCACTGTGATTGGATCAGGCCACCACTTCTAATGATGTCAGCAGACTGCTTGTTTTTATGAGTCTAACAGCATGCAGAGTTACAGCTTCAGGCTTGAATATAGTAAGATTTTGCTATATTTATGGAGGCATGAGGAGCCCAGGGGGGCTAGATGGTGGTGTTGACACTATAGGGTCATGAATTCATGTTTGTGTTCCTGACCCTATAGTGATCCTTTAAGGTAATGCTGACTTTGGTCTCTCTAACACTGTGGCATGTTCCCTTTCTTCTACACTCACTACATACAGCTTTTCTCTGTCCGAGACCATATACCAGGAGCTTCTGCCTGCTAGTAAGAAGGTAAGGAGACAAGTGGACCAGCGAGTGCTAGGGGACAGTCCTTAGAAAGCATTGAGTGAGTGCATCATTAGATGCATTTATGCCAAGCTCAGGGTGTTGTCTGCATAGTATGCCCTTAGTTGGCCAGCTTCATGATTGGCAGGCAGCCTGACATGCATTCATGCCAGGCTGGCCTTCTAATTCTTTGAGCAGACATGTCCTCTTTTTGGGCATGTTCGCCCCTTTTGGCAGGTTACGTGATTTGTGTCAGTGGCACACCCTTTTACCATGCCCATTGACTTCCTGCTTGACTGGACACTGCTGTTAGGGGTTATGGATTTACTTGAACGATGAAAACATAAATTAGAGAGAGATTAGCCTAGGGTATGTGTTTTCTTATGGCTGCTGTTTTCTTTCTCTCCAGCACCATCAGATACATGATGCTTTGGAGTGTTTTACTGTTTTTGGTCGATATGATTCTGTAATTGGGCCCGTCATAATTGTCAGCACCAGGCCCACTGGGCTCTTAATCCGGCCCTGCATACAAATGTATATATTTATATAAAGTAGACATCACAGGCTATTTACCTAAGTTTAGTTTGACACTTTTTACGTAACCATTTCATCGCCAATCTCTGCAAAATATTTTTTTATAAAATTGTGTTTTTTCTCTATTTTGGCAAATACGCATATAACAAGGTTTTTGTAATATGAATGGTGTAAAGCTGGTGTGTGCTATTCCTGCCCATATTGTGTTCAGCTACATCTGCTGAGTATAACAATACCTCTATTGCATGGGTCGTCAACCTGGTCCCTACCGCCCACTAGTGGGTGTTTCGGGATTCCAGGTGGGCGGTAGGGACTTTGGAGGTTAAAACCTCCTTTTGAGCGAGCGGGCACGAGCATGAGCGAGCGCACACATCAAGAAACCAACGTGAGCGAGAATGCGTGCGGTAGGATTTTCGGAAGTTAAAACCTCCTTTTGAGCGAGTGGGCGGGCGGCGCAGGCAGGCGCGAGCGCACACATCAATCAACCTCCTTTTGTGCGAGAAGGGGTCGGGCGGGAGCGAGCGCACGCAAATACGTGGGAAGAGGAAGGGGAGGAGTGGAAACTGATAGCAGGGACAGGCAGAAACTGAGCAGAGCAGTTGCAAAAGAAAAGTTATAGGCAGGAGAAAGAGAATTGTTGGCTAATAATAATAAGTTGGCTTACTAGCTCAGCCTTACTTTTGTACCTCAGGAAGGTAAAAGAAAGGAGATAAAAAGGAAAAGATAAAAGAAAAAAATTACAAAAAAAGGAAGAAAAATAGAGAAAAGGGGATAAAATAAAGTAGGAGAGTAAGCAGTGTTTAGTCTGGCTCATAAATTAAGTTTTGTTATCTTATAAAATAAAAGAAAAAAATAAGTAAGGGAAGGAAACAATAAAAAAAAAAGGAAAAAGAGATCCTTGATATAGTGATATACTATAAGGAAGGTAAAGAAGCAGGCAGGAAAAGGAATTTCTTTTGATGGTGACATTTAATAAAAATTGGCACCTAATACAGCATTGTTTTTGGTGTTAGTAATAAAAGGGAAAAGAGGAGGGAAAAAAGCACTGTGTGGAGTGCAGATCAAAACGTAAGAGTAAAAGTAGTAATTACTTTTGTAATTTTGTAATTTTGGCAGTGGTGGATACCAAAAACTCTGGCAAAATAAAAAAATGCCTGCGTTATATCCAAATATGTGGAAAATGATGTTCAATTTATTGATACCTTTCCCTACCACATATCTTGTAGAATCAGGCTTTAGTGCTGTTAATCATATTATGAGCAAACAGAGAAACCGTCTGAATATCACCGAAAGAGGAGACCTTCGTTTGTTCCTTACGAAAATCGAACCAGATATCAAATATTTAGTCTCGTAGCATCAGCCTCAAGGATCTCATTAATCACTAGTAAAGGTAATTTCAATTTACTTTATTGTTTTCTCATTAAACTTTATAAAGTTAAAAACATTCTAAACATGCATTAAGTAGAAATAAAAAGATAAATGTACGTACATTTATTTTTATTTTTAAAACACCCTCCTTTCTAAAAAATATTCCGCGCTTGCGCGAAAACTGGTGGGCGGTAAGGAAATTTTTCCATCAAGAAAGATGCATTAGTGGGCGGTAGGTAGAAAAAGGTTGACTACCACTGCTCTATTGTATGCCTTTGGCACTATTCTGTGATGCTACAAAGCTATATAATGGACAAAGCTATTTCCATTTTTTTTTTTTTTTTATCTTTTCAAATAATTTTTATTGAAAAATTTTGCAGAATTTACAAATAATAAAGAACAATATATTAGGGAAAGGAAAGGAAGGGTGAAACTGGGAAGTGGGGGGGAAAGGGGGATATCCATCCATTATAACAGTAAATATGTTAAAGTACAAGGCACTTGAGTTGAATAACACTACATTACAAGCTATTACAGGTTATGTGGGGTTTTTTTTACATCGGTTTCCCATTGCTCCCAGTGGTATTTTAATTGTGCAAATATGTGTGTGTTATTTCTATGTGATCGCTCGTATGCTTTGTTTTCTAGTGTTAGTGTCAGTACTTCCTTGATAGAGGGTGTATGTTTAGACTTCCAATATCTAGGTAGACGTGGTGGTGGCTATCAGGATGTGGCCTGCTATAATCCTATCAATTCTACTGATGGATTCAGGGAATTTTTTAAATAGAGCTAGTTCAGATGTGGAATTGTCTATATTCCTGTTCACTTTAACAAATAAGTCACGTATCGTTTTCCAGTATTTAGTTAGTCTTGGGCAATACCACCATATGTGGGCCATATTGCCCAATCCTCCGCAGTCTCTCCAACACCTATCGCTGTACCTATTATTCATATTTTGCAGTCTGGATGGAGCTAGATACCATCTATACAGAATTTTAAAATGATTTTCGTGATGATTGGAGCAGAAAGATAAACCCTTCAGTGCTGAAAAAAATTGAACCATTCTTCCAACTTATATTGGGTACCCAGCTCCGTCTCCCAAGACAACATATGTTTCAGTTTGGTTGTTGGTTTATCATTGTGTAACATATAGCATATAGATATAGATATAGATGCCTTTCCTATTTGGGTCATTTAAAAATAGCTTTTCTAATGGAGATATAGCCAGTGCTTCGTAATTTTTATCAAGTTCTGGAATTTTTTATATTTCTTTCAATTTCTCAATCACTAACTCACATTCAACCTGGTATTCGATCGGCAGACTATGCTTAAATTTTAGTTTTTCATAAGACAGAATAGAGTTTCCATGGAAAAAATTGTCCATATTATGCAGTTGGTGTTCTTTAAGCAATTATAGGTCTAAGGTTGGGATGTATTATTTTAAAGAATCAATTGGCATGGCTCTATAAAGTTTTATCAAGTGACAATTGTTTTTGAATACTAAATCCCAGGCTTTGAGTGTGGTCTTAGTAGTCAAAAACATTTTTGATACGCCAGGTCTTCTTGAAGGGTTTAGTCAGGGTCGTTCCCTGATTTGATAGGGGAAAATGCTGGATTCCTCCATCTCCATCCATCTCGGCCTGTTTTTTTGGCTATTAAAGCTTACAACCACTGCAGCATTAGTAGCAAAGTAGTAATTCCTGAAATTTGGGACGCCAATGCCCCTGTGGATTTTTTGGTGCTGCAAGGATGTAAGCTTAATTCTATTGAGTTTATTGTTCCAGATAGGTTTAAACATTATTGAATGCACTTTGTTAAAAAAGGACATTGGAACAGATAAAGGGATAATTCTGAAGTAATACAGGATTTTTGGTAGGATCGACATTTTTATGGAGGCAATTCTTCCTAACCATGACAATTCCATGCCACCCCATCTCTCCATCTCCCTTTGTAGGTCTGGCCATTCTCCCTTCAAGTTATGAATATGCATATTAGGTAAATGTTTGCATAAGTTAATACCTAAACATTTCAGGTAATCCTTCCTCCAGTCGAACGAATATATTGCTTTTAATTTATCCATGTCAGACTTTTGCAAATGAAAAGGCAGGGCCTGGGTCTTAGATAAATTTAATTTATAATATGACACTTCCCCAAACTGGAGTAGAACTGTGTTAAGAGATTCCAGAGATTCTTTTGGATTTTTGAGTGCTAGTATGACATCATCTGCAAATAGCCCTATTTTGTGGGTGGATCCCTTAATTGGAATACCTGCTATTTCTGGGGTCGTCAATTCGGCCAGGGGTTCCATCACCAGAACAAAGAGAATCGGAGATAAGGGGCAACCTTGACGCGTCCCATTAGTTAGGGAAAACGTTCTTGATTGGAAACCCGAGGCCAATACGTGAGCTGTGGGTGCGCAGTATAGTACCTTAATCGCAGTAATGAAAGATTGTGGAATATCAAATCTACTCAATATCTTCCATAGGTATCCCCAATATACCCTGTCGAATGCCTTCTCTGCATCCAATGAAAGGAGCAGAGAAGGAGTTTTTGTTGAATTGATATGCTGGATCAAGTTTATGAACCGTCTGGTTCCGTCAGATGCCTGTCTTCCCTGGACGAATCCAACCTGGTCAGTCTTGATCAGTAAGGGTATTAAACTAGTTAAGCGGTTCGCTAATATCTTAGCATACATTTTTATGTCGTTGTTTATAAGGGATATGGGTCTAAAATTACAGCATCTATCAGGAGTTTTACCTGGTTTTGGCAAGGTGACAATCTGTGCGGACAAAGATTCTCCCGGCATCTTCCCCCGGGACTTATAGTAGTTAAATAATTTGGACATGTGGGGAATTAAAGTTTCTGCAAAGGTCTTATAATATAAAATGGTAAATCCATCAGGTCCAGGAGCCTTTCCTGACGGCATGAGCTTGATCGCCTTGGCTATCTCTGCTTCAGATATATCGCACTCTAGTTTTTCCAAATTGCTATTTCCATTTCTATAGTTAGAATTTGCGTAGATGGATTTGACCGGCCTATGTCTCATTTTAGGGTATTATAGCAGTGTGAATGTTCAAATAACCCCACAAAGGGCTTTCATTTGATAAAGCAGACACCCCAGGGTATCTTATATGGTGTATATTGTGCCTTCACTGGTTTGTGGT